AATACAAGTTTAAAGGTTTGTTTTCAAGCCAGCTGCATCCTGTGGTAAGCCTGATTTTGGACCTTTGTACAAAGTTAAATGCGATAAGCAGTGTTATATATGTTATCAGTTCCCACCTGGTGCCCAGGAATCAGTTACACAAAATGTGACTCTGGAAGAAGATGCATTACTGYTGCCTCTCTTGGATGGGGTTTATCTTCAAAATGTTTGCATTTACTTTCTGCCCACAGTTTATCTTTAAATTAAGATAATAAAAAACAAAACTCTATTGCAGTACAGCCAGACTTTTTTTGTCCATAAAACAAAATGGTAGTTCAAACACTGACAGGCAATTGAGATTAGTCAATTAGTTGATCAACTAAACCACTGTAACATTTTGAAGACTTAGTCTTTACAAAAGGAAATACACTTTTCCAATTTAAGTCTGTGACCATGTCCTAAAGTAAATGATTGTAAACCAACACTATAAATACTTTAAGTTGTTAAAGTTAAAGCCATTAAGAAGTTTATGTGATGTTAGAGAAGGAAAGTTTAGTGCAGAACCAGAAAAAGTGTATGAAGACCAGAACATGTCTAAAACATGTAAATAATAAATGTAATTGTCATTTAGTGTATCTCTCACATAATTAGCATCTTTTGGATTATTTGCTTTACAGTTTTTTTAAAGTATCAGATCAGCATTGTTATCTAAATCAAACAAAACTCCAAAGATATGTAATAAAGTCAAAAGTGGTCTTAGAAGATAAAATACATTGCAAATTATGGTCATTTTTCTGTGGAGCACTGATGTTCTAGATCCATATCATTGAGAGAGTTGGTCCTACCAAGGCTTAGAAAAACATGAAAGCTCATTATGACCCCCGCATGGTTTTTTTTTTTTTCAGTGACTTTTGGTCAACCGTACCACAAAAACGGCTGCACCGATCAACATGAAATTTGGCAGGACTGTAGATGAGTCTGACCTACACTGTGCCAGCCAACGATTTTACGATAAACCCCATATTTGAGGAGGGGGCTCCTTTCAAAGAAGGGCTGTCTGGACATGCAAAAATGCTTATGACTCAGAAACTGTTCAACACAGGAGCTTCAGATTTCTTTTGTTGTTTAGCTCTGATGAAATTCTATCCATCAAGCCCACCAATCAGTGTCACCCCGACCACTCCCCACTCCCCACCCCCAGACCCCCAATTTATCTGAAAAAGGGGTGTCTGCACATACAAAAATGGTCATTGCTCAAAAGCTATTAAGCATAGGAGCTTCAGATTTCCGTTGGTTGTTTAGCTCTGATGAGGGCTAGCCATCAGGTCAACCAATGCCCCACCCCCACACCCCCACCCACCCAAACCACTACAATTTTAGGAATGAAGACTTCTGAGTTCTGGTGCATTTCTGCGTGCGGGGGTCATTATGTTACCACTATGTGGTATCTAGTTTTAATTAACTACAGTAATGAGATGGTCATTCAAGTCTATTACTGTACAATATTTTGCCTTCTTGTTCCACAAAAACTTCTCCTTTCTCATTAAACTGTTCTCCAATATGCTGCTTTGATACACTTGAAGGTGGCTTACAGTTTGGTGCCTAATGGAAAACTAATTGTCCTTTTGCGTTTTCCTTAATTGTCAAATGAGAAATTATGAATTAGAAATCAAAACCAGTTTTGTGCTGTAATCTAATGTTTGTGTCATGTAGCTTTTTTTCCCCCGAGAAAGCAGATTTCTTCATAAATTTGCATTGTGGTTTGATGTACATGCTAATAGAATTATTCCTGTCATATTTGTTATCATGCAAAATATATGCTCATGGGAAAACATTACATGTGCAACCAGATGACGGAGCATTTCATGCCTGGCATCAAAAATCAAATCTGTATGAGCAGACAAAGAGATGTCGTAGATGAAGGTAGAGTTAGATTAATCGGGTGACCCATGTTAACAGACCAATATTGGCCACACAAAAAAATACTATCAGCCAAGCCATTGTATACACAAATGGCCTACTGAACCTCATAACAGTTTTTATGCAAGAATGSTCTTTTATAAATGATAAACCCAAGGACAGCAGGAGGGTTAAGCGTACAAGGTACAAAACACACTGCAATATCTCAGACAGCTGCCCTTATTTCTAAAAATCAGACAGAGCATCAACCACAGAAAAATTCTTAATTCATATTGGTCAACCTATACTGTATATGATGGACACCAGCAAAACAGACAGAGTAAGACATGTCAGTTCTCCCTTTATTGCCAAGAGGAATGTGTAACCAATAAAAGTGAAATCTGAGCACTGATTCACAACATAATTAGAATGAATGGTAATGAATGATATATGCTTGAAATAATGCACATAACTCCAAGGTCTCATTTTTTCAGAACATTAAGAGGAGARTAAGCGTAAAAAAGATGGAATGCTTATTTTCTTAACGGCAGGTGGTGTTATCCTGGAAATGTTACTAAGTAGCTGTTTTCTCCATACYTGATTTGATYTACACTCTAAAAACGAAATGTTGGATTTACTTAACCATGTTATGTTACCTGGTTCCACTCAACTGAGTTGAGTAAATTCAAAGCAACATACTCATGTTCTTTGGCTAAAAAACTGGTATGTTGCTTTGAATTTACTCAACTCAGTTAAGWGGAACCAGGTAACATAACATGGTTAAGTAAATCCAACATTTCATTTTTTACAGTGTAGTTTAAAAGCTGAAATGTTCTTTATATTTAAATCCAATCACTCAACAACAAAGAGTGATCTAAACAATGTTGTACACAGCTATCGCTGCTATTGCTGGTTTAGTTGTGATTGGACACCATCATTCTTTTAGTCCGGGTTACTGAGGGATCTTGACCAAGTGTTTAAACTTCAGGTGTCAGATCAAGTAAGTGGATTTTAAATGGCTTTAAGACTGCTCTTAAACACATGTTCACTTAGCAAATATGCCATCTGGAAATAGGACAGACTTTTTTTAATCATAAAACAAATTTAGAAGCATCATAATTAAGGCATAATGAGTGACTCCAATAATCCAATAACTCTGAATATTTGAGATGGTTGAAACTGAACGAGTATATTTTAAAAAAGATACAAGATTGCTTCTTGTTTYTGTTCTTGTTTTTTGGATGACAACTTGTACATCAAGTCAAATGGAGTAACATCTAACTTTGCTCCAAACACCAAATAATAAAATCTACATRAAATTAAAAGTATGTAACTGGTTTTTCGAATTATAAAAAAACAAGCAGCATTGGATATGTTTCATAAAACATGACATGGATTTGTATGCATTTCCTTTTAAATAACTCTAAAGAGCTGTTAGTATTGCACATTTTTAAAGGCCTTGCTGCAAATAAGATTTTAATTATACGAGTTAAAATTATGGCATGATAAATAAAATGGACATAAACAGCAACGCACAGCAACGTGAAGAGAAGTAAGGTTGCGCAAAAGCTGCTGCTGYTTCACCGATTTTTAGAACAGTTTTGGAACACTATATGTGAGAGTCTTCTCTTAAGAAATGTTTTGCTTCTTTCTTTCAGTGAAACTTTTTCTTAGATTTACAGGTAGATGAGTCACAGATGTCCCCATCGCTACCTCAACTGCTGTCCTWCTCCATCTTTCTGCATTGCTCAGTATATTCTTTTGTGGACAATCCTTTTACAGTTTGGTCTTTCTTTTCTTGCTCTGTCTCCAGAACTGCATTTGTGTTTTCCCTTCAGTTCTATTCCACTCCTCTTTCAGGTCTTCATTCATTCCTCAGTTCCTCTTAACAAAAAACTAAAAAAATAAGGACCTAGCATTTCTTAACTAGGASTTACACCTTTCATGCCAGAGTTTTAAGCTAAGATCAGTTTCTGATGAGAGGAGATAAAGATATCCATTTTGGTCAAACTATGCAAATGATTTTATGTGGAGTTGTGTTCAGTATTGCAAGAGCTTTAGAGCAATGAGTTCTAAGAGTGACTCTTGGCTACTGTCACATCAAACCTGARCAATACCTGTTGATGTGACTACGTTATAGCCGTTTTGGTTTTGTGTTGGCTAAGGTAGATTAGCTGAAGCTGCTAAATTGAATGAGATCAACTCCAAAGGTTTATGAATTGTAGATCTACATAGGGCCAGTGATTATTTTTTGAGTTTCATTAAATCAGGTCTACTGACAAATAAAAACACACACAGAAACAAACATGGGCAAAACATTATCCCCAATTTCTTTTTTCATACATTAATGAATAAAAAAAGTAAACTAAGATTCAGCCTAGAACCTGTTAAAAGTGGTCTATAAAATGATTTTTGATGGGATAAAACTCATGATATGCAACTTCTCAGATATTTACTTGCCCCTCTTTCCCCACCATTTTCTATGGTGGTGTCATCCAAACAATATGTCGAGAAAAGTAACATTTTATGATCCTGYAGGTAAACCTCATTGGACCAATTTATCTTGTTCTGCCACAATGTTAATAATATGCATCATGTTACTATCAAGAGTATATGACACTTTCACCTTCCCAAAGATTTTTGAAAACCGTTAAGCTTTTGTGGCAGCAACACAGAACCCTCTGTCATTCACCCTACCTGTTACTATGATCAGGACGGAGGTCAAAGAGAAGTAGAAACCACTTTTGAACAGATGGTACAAGCCACCACTCCCAATAACATACTGATATTCTGATCTATAAGTCATATGAACACATCACTTCATTTACACAAGCTATTAGTATACTCAGGTTAGGCCACACTAATTTTCAAACTTACTCTCGTTTTGGTCTCAGCCCGACCTCTTACACATGTGCGTGCTTGAACTTAATGAGGAATGCAGTATACATAGAAGTTGAAATGSAACTATTAATGTCAAAAAATATATTGCTACAATGGTGATGAGTTATTAGTTACTGTTTGTCTCCCATTTTAAGGTGCTTCATTTAAATGTGTACATATTATCTTCTCCCGAGCTTTTTCTGCTCACTGTCATTATTAAGGACTGTAATGGTCGGACTCACTGTCTCTCCACTTTCTCTTTACTCATGTTGTCTTTCAGCTGTTGTAGCTTCTCTTCCATGTCCTTGCTCTCAGCGGTCATAGTCATGGTGTCTATTTGCAGTTGCTGCAGCTTCCTAAGACAACAGAACCACATGAACATATATGCAATCAACCAACAACAACCAATCATACAAATGACCTATTATGTCCAACTGAACAGTTAGACTTTCATCAGCATTTRTTCAATCCATCTTCTGCACTAGTGGATCCCTGTTGTCATGACTAATCAATACTTTAATCAATTAGTCATTGGACGAGTGCACTACTAATCCAGGCATCAACTCGGATAATTGTTTGTTTGCAAATAAAGACTTCATTATAGGACAGAATAAAATCTTGCATAATCATGTGAAGTGGATTTTGCACTGAAAACTGCTGAATCAACCTCATGGGTGTTAGTTTGCCTGTAAGCCATTTTTAGCGAACTCTCTGTATAATAAGATGCTTTTTTTCTGCCTCCTTTCATTTAATGTATGGTTTGTGATTTTTTTTTATTGTACAACTTTTTTTTCTTTTTGGTTTTTAATGAATCAATAAAAATAAATTTAAAATAAAAAGGCGATAGGCAACAGAGGAGCACTGAATGAATTGCATGTCAGTAAAGAGAGGCAAAGGGGCTTCTATCAAATGCCTTCAATCAAATTATTGATCTTATCTTACCTGGCACTGAGCTTGACAGATCTGGCCTTGTTGTTGGGAGGCACAAAGTCATTTAATTTCATACTTCTCTTTTCCTGTGGCTGAGTTTTATCTCCCATGCCTGTTGCTGTGCTTTCACGAGCAGACTTCCCCTGCAGTAAAAAACAAAATAGACAGTAATGGTAYAAAACTGGTAATCACGTATGGCTTAGGGTAAATAACAGGGTAAACACTGCTGCTGTGAAATGAGAAGAATAGCAGGGAAGCATCTGCTGAAGTGAATGATAGGAAGATGTTTTTTTTTTGGTCTTGTGTTTAAATATATTTGACAGTTTTATTAGGTATTATACATGTTTTTAAAGAGAAAAAAATCAGTTATTAATTTATCTTTACTTGAAGGAACGTATATTGAGGCCAACATATATTGAGGTCTATATTGAAAACGGAACGAGTTATAGCCATTGTGGTCAGACAGACAGCATTGACGTTGTTAATGCTAGTTTATTGTGTATTGGTGTGTATGGTGTTTTGTAACTCTGTTCTTTTCAGCTGTTTGCAGTCACTTCAAATTGTTTTGTATTTTTACCTCGTCCTCGGTGTGTCTGAATTTATTGTACAGCACTTTGGTTGGCTTTAAGCTGCTGTTTTATAAATAAAAATGGTATGATATACTGTATATGTGACCCATCACATCGAAATGAGGATCCAGTCAAATTTGGTCTAAATTACCAAATCACATTTTCAGATTCCTGGCTTTAAAAGCTACATTTTGATACTTAGATCATCCCGATGCCATTAGTAGATCCAGAGCTATTATTTAATTTGTCTTCTTGGTTACAATAATACATAAGTATTTGGTCTAAATCC